GCCTCTATTCAAGTACTCCCTCAATGCAAGAACACTTTGTTCTATTAAACTGGCATTCCATGATGCTCATCTTCCTGACATGATCGCTGAAGACAAAGTGGGTGCATAGCAAATTTGGTGAAGAAAGCTAATGGTGCCAGGCTATCAAAAGGTATAGTGTCTGGGGTCTTAAAGGATTGAAATTAAACAAGCGGCCATCTAGCTGAGAAGCATCAAAGCTCACATGAAAGAAGCACACCACCCTGTGTGATCATGAGGTATTTGATCAATCATCAATGGTCTGGTAACAAGTTGCCACTGTGAGTTGGAATTGATGGCCAATAAGAACAACAACAACTGGCTGCCAAGTTGTAAAGCCAATTCCCATCCATGGCGACCCCATACAGAGTAATATAGGGCTTTCATGGTTGTGACCTTTGGAAACAGAACACCAGGTCCTTTCCCTAACACACCTCTATGCTTTCTGGACAGATGATAGCAATTTGCATGGCTTCTCTATCCAGGGGTAGATAACTGTTTTGGAAATGTCTGCTTCTTACAATAGATAAGTTGAAATGATGCACTTGGATTCCTTTCAGAATGGATAATAAAAGGATAGGCAAGCTGAGCCCAGGTCTGAGCTGTTGCTTAAAGAACTTTTCTTTCATTTGCTCTTAAAACCAAGACAACACACTTTTCCAATAACACCACACTCAATATTGGTCCTATCAACTCCAAATACAGTGTCATTAATAAGAGTACCAGTGAGCTAAGGAATGGTAAGAATAAAAATATTTTACAGACAGTGAAATTTATCAATTTAAACTTACTTGAGCATGTAAATGAATTTACAAATGTTGTCATTCAATTTTTGTATTTAACATTTATTCAACTAATATTGGTCAATGAGAAAGGCATTGTATTAACTAAATCTAAACTCCAACAAGTGACTCTAAATCAAATACTCATTAAGATTGATCATTGAAAGGGAAATGTATGGCTTTAGGGGAAGGTGTAAGGAAAAATAAAAGTGACTTACCGAGAATAAGAAACATTCAGATTTAATGCCCAGCTATCAGTACTGAATATTTTGATAAAAGAATCCTGATCAAAGGGGAAAACAAAATTTCAGGTTTTTTTGGAAGAAAGATTTTCTTCAGACATTGAGGCTGGATGAACTCGGGCGACAATTGCCCTAAGATAATCTTTAAACCTCAAACAAAAAATATCCCCTGAAGCATTCTTTAAAACCAATTATTTAGCTTTGAGAGTTAAAAATGTCTGCCTTAAGCATTATATGTTTAAAAAGAACTATCTGTGTGGGATCCAAGTGACTTCAGCAACTCCAGAGGTTTAGATAGTGACCTTAGGGGAAAGTAAGTTCATGTAAGTGAGGGAGGAGCAACTCAGAAAGGGAGGGTGAGGATGGATGTACAATCCAAACAATATAACCCGTTACTTTATTTTCTCTACATGTCCCTAAATTGTCCATGTAGAAATGATTGTGTTGGTGGATGTTTTGCTGTGTAAAGTCTCTGTGGCAATTACATAATCTCCTGTTAACTTGAGTGAAGGGGTGGAGTCTAGCCTGTCAATCAGGTCCTAGCCAATGATGCTCCTGTGTGGGCGTGGCCTTCTCTTGAGGATCCTGGGAATTCCTGTATTCCTTCCTGGAGGTGGGACACACACTCTGTCTGTTTCACTTCCCTGTTGACCAGCCACATGGAGCCACACTGATGCCAGCCAGAGCCCTGGAGATGGGTCCACTGCCATTGGATCTACAGGACTTTCCACCCACTGACCTGTGACCTTCCTGCTTTCACCATCAATGTATGTGCTGTGTGAGTCTGAAGAGGAATTCATGGGGTAACGTGGAACTTATGGGCTAATATTGAACATATGGACTTGATATGAACTGGGCTGCGATGTTTGACTGATGCATAATTACTTCTTGATATAAAGTACTCTCTTACATATATGAGTATCTGTGGGTTTGTTTCTCTAGTTAACCTAGACTAGCACAGTCTCAACAATAGCAGCAACAACAAACGGATCCTTCAGAATGAGAAAATAACACCACCAAGAAAACAATTAGCATCCACTCTGGGGAGCATCTAAAACATGTTAACAATGCCATTGAATCTATGTCTATGTGGTGTCAAGTAATTCTTTCATTCCACCTTATTTATTCAGTCCTTTACAGAATATAGTATAGACAATGCACAATACATAATTTTAACATTCCACCCTTTGGTTAATATGCATGTTGTTGGTGTTATTAGGTGCTGGTGAGTTGGTATCAACTCTTTTATTTTACTAAAAGATCATTTTATTGGGGGCTCTTACAACTCTTATAACAATCCATACATCAATTGTATCAAGCATATTTGTACATATGGTGCCATCATTCTTTTCTAGACATTTACTTTCTATTGAGCCCTTGGTATCAGCTCCTTTTGTCCTCCAACATCTCACTCCTGTGATCCCTTGGTAAATTATAAATTATTATTATTTTCATGTCTTACATGGACTGCTGCCTCCCTTCCCCCATGGTTTCCATTGTTTGTCTCCCTGGAGGTGGGGTGGTGGTGGTGACTGTGTTTATGTGTCGATCATTGTGATTGGCTCTCCCCTTCTCTCCTCCTCTCCCAACCTTCCCCCTCTCCTTCTGGTGTCACTATTCCCATTCCTGCTCCTGGGTTCCATGTGTCATGAGCTCTTACCTCTTATCTGTACCTGTGCACACGCTCTAACTCACAGTGAAAGGAAGTATACCCAGAAGAGGTAAGAAATAAACCATCACCAGTCGTTTGCCCTCCAGTGTTTATTGCAGCACAATCCATACTCGCAAAGAATTGGAAACAACCTAAGTTTCCATTGATAGATGAGTGGATCAGTAAACTCTGGCACATACACACAATGGAGTACTATGGAGCACTAAAAAGCACAGATGATCACATGAAGCAGGTTGCTTCATGGGAAGAGTTGGAGGAAATTATGCTACGCAAAGTCAGCCAATCACAAAAGGACAAGTACAATATGGTAAGTTTCATCAGCACAGTAGGTATAGAAGAATCCACTTATCTCACACTGTACAGGTTGAGCTACAGGTAGTCTGCTGGAGGTCAGACCAAACTCAAGAAGGTACATCTTATTCCAACAAAAAGAAAGGGAAAGGGAGTAAGGGGGCGGGGAGAAAAGAGTGGGGGAGGAGAGATGATGGCATTGGGGGAGCAGGACACTAACCCACCTTGGGGAATAGTATTGGTTATATCTCCAAAGAATTTGGAGTGTGCGTACAGACCCCACCATGGTGCACCAAACCTTGAAGGCAGCGTAACCACGTGGAGAAACGTATGAACAGATTGGGCTACAGGGCCAGCTCCAATCAGAGCCCAACTGACCCCTTTCCTATCAGTATGTGTGACAGAGAACAACACTAAACCTACAGGCAGGGGAGAGGGGCCAGCTTACTACTCTCACATGGAAGCAAACCAAGAAGGAAAAAGAGAAAGGGATGGTCCAGAAGCCCGGAGGATGATGTCCCTGCACCCAACTGCTAAGGCACAGAGAGGACTGTAGGGCCGATTACAGCTCAAGAAATGTTGTCCCCTTACTGGAACATACTGCGACAGAGGACATTACTGGGAACACACAGTGGGGGGTTAGTCCCTTCTGAACCCCCCGCAGTGGGGCAAACCAAGAAGGGAACATAACAGATCAGCAATGGGAGCAAAGCAAAGCTTCAAAGCCCCTAAAGGCCCCCCAAAATAGACTTCAGGCTAGGAGGGGCATCTCTTGGAATTCCCCCAGGACCAGTGGGGAGATAGTCATAAAGGTTAGCAGACAGACCTGGAATTATGTCTGTCTTTTTTTTTTCTTTCAATCTTTTGTTTTCTTATCGTTTGGTCTGTATTATTGTTGGTTTTCCCACTTACATAAGATAAGCATGGGAAGCAAGCTCAAGGAGAAAGCAATGGACCAACAGTCCTGGAGGGACTTGGTGGGAAGGAATGGGTGAAGGGAGTGGTGAGCAAACAATGCCATAGACAGGAACAACTAGGGAATTTAAATCAAGAACAAGGAGTACATAGAGATCCTAGGGGTGTTGGAGCAACGGCAACCTAGTTGAGAGGAATTACTAAGAGGTGAAAGTAGGGTAAGCATGACGGTGGTCCAAGAGGAAGGTAAAAGAAAAAGAGAGGAATGATCTAGGAAGCAAAGCTATGGATAGAGGTATAAGCAAAGGTGTGTACGTATGTCAATGCATTAATTCATAAAAATAGAGGTATTGGTCTATGTACATATATTTATATGGCAATACACTGAGGTAGTGGACAAACTTTGGACCTCTGTTCATACCCTTCCTCAATGCAAGGGCACTTTGCTCTAACAAACTGTCATTCTGTGATGCTCACCCTCCCAGCACAATTGCTGAAGACAAAATGGGTGCATAAGCAAATGTGAAGAAAGCAGATGGTCCCTGGCTATCAAAATATATAGTGTCTGGGGTCTTAATGGCTTGATGTTAAACTAATGACCATCTAGCAGAGAAGCAACAAGCCCACATAGAAGAAACACACCAGCCCGTGCAATCACAGTATCAACTCTTAATGGAAAAAGTCTTAGGTACAACACATTGAAATACTACCTGGTCCTGCACCACACTCACGATTGTTGTCCTGTTTGAGCCCATTGTTACAGGCACTGTATCCAATCCAACTCATAGATGGTCATACCTTTCCCCTTGACTTTTACATTTTACCAAGGATCTCTGGCGGCATAGTGTATTACAAGTTGGGCTGCTAACCACAAAATCAGCAGTTCAAAACCTCCAGCTGTTCCTCATGAAGAAGATGGGGCTTTCTACTCATGTAAAGAATTACAGTCTCAGAAACCCCCAGGGAGAGTTCTACTCTGTTGTGTAGTGTTCCTATGAGTTAGAAAAGACTCGACGGCAATAAGCGATTGTTTCCCCCTACTTTACCAAGCCCCCCTTGTTAAAGAGACGGGTCTTTCCTGGTAAAATGCCAAAGTATAAGTGTGTCATTCTGGCTTTTAAGGAGCACTGTGACTGTACTTCTTCCCAAACAAATTTGTTCTTTCTCTTGGCAGTAGACACTTTTTCAATATTCTTCTCTAACATCATAACTTAAAGATGCCAATTGTTCAGTCTTCCTAGTTCACTGTCCGGCTTTCATGTGCACAGTCCTCACAGCTATGTCGTTGTTCTTTAACACTTGAAAGGGCACTTTTGCCGCTGACTCGTGTCCTTTGGTTCCTTGACTACTGCTTCTATGAGTGTTGATTATGGATCTAAGTAAAATGAAATCTTAACAACTTCATGTTTTCCCCGTTTATCATGATGTTATTTATTAATCCAGTTGGAAAGATTTTATTTACTGCTTAAGTGGCACAAAGAACGTGTAATCCCTAACAATGAGATGGTTTTCAAATAACATGGATACATGAAAAGGAAACTCCCTACTCTTTAGAATAAATGCAGATAACATTTTAAAACACAATGTATTTCAAATGATTTAATTGCTGCAATGGAAAGACTGAGAACCTCTGGTGTCACTGTTGGGCAGGGGTCAGATTGCTAACTACAAGATAGGCGGTTCAAACCCATCACCCACTCTCCTAGAGGAAGATGAGGCTATCTGCTTCCTTAGAGATTTGCAACCTTGCGAACTCTGAGTTGAAATGACTTCTGCAAAGACTTCTGCTGATATTCTATGCCTAACAAGCATTAAATTAAATTAATGCACACTGGAATATACATATATGGAATAGCAAACTCAAGCTCACTGCTATGGAGTTGATTCTAACTCAAAGTAACCCTATAGGACACAACAGCACCACTCCTGTGCGTTTCCAAGGCAGTAAATCTCTACAGGAGTAGAAAGCTTCATTTTTCTCCCATGGGAGAGGCTGGTGGTTTTGAAGTGCTGACCTTTGGTTTAGCAGCCTGGCGTATAGCCATCAGTTTCCCTCGTATCAGGAATATACATTTGATATTCCGCATATCAAATTTATTTCGCATATGTGTTTAGACACACATGTGTATAGAAGGAGAGTACATACAAGTGTAAACAAAGTTTGGGCTCATTCTTTTTTTTTTGTTCACTAAAAGATTTATTTCTTCTGCCCATTCCTGTTTAATTTCATATTGTGACAAAAACCGGGGAATAGAGTTTCTTCCACCCTCCTGTTTTGTACCAGGAGATGGAAACATATTCACAAATGTGCCAAGTCTATGCCTGCCAAGTTTCACCCTACAGTGAATTTTCATTGCTGGTTATTATGAAATCCAGACAAAAAAATGAGTTGCATAATTGAAGCTTATAATGGAAAACTGAGGGATTTTTTTTTATAAATAGACGGCGGTGCCACGGTGTTGATCTGATACAATATATCTGATACAATAAAATGCAGTAGCCACTGCATTAAGAGCATGTTCCTCGACACTTTTCCCTTATTGCCCAGTACAGATGTGGATCCCAGGTGTCAGATGTCATTGCTAGCCTTCAAATGTATATAGCATGCGCAGTACCCCTGAGCCAATAGCATTTCCAGGGCTGGCTATTTTGAACTTATACAGTTAAAGAAGAAAAAGGAAAAAATCAGTTGCCATTGAGTCAATCACTATTCAGAGGGACTCGATGTGTGTCAGGGCAGAACTGTGCTCCAGAGGGCTTTCAATAGCTGATCTTTCAGAAGAGGTCATGAGACCCTTACTCTAAGGCATATGTGCCCGGGTGCACTTGAACTGCCAATCTTTTGGTTAGGAGCTAAGCACGTTAACTGTACCAATGAGCTGTACACTTAAACATAAATTTTTGAAAGCATTTAGGACTTTATACCTGCTCTATCGACTTTGCTATCCACATGCAGCCCAGCTCAGAGCTGATGTGGACACTGCCAGCTACCTCCAAGTCTGAACGTCTCCATTAATCCCAGAGATTGTGCTCTGCATCAACGTCCCTTTGTCCTTGGCCTTAAAACACAACAATTCTTCCTTTAGGACTTCTGTTTCCTGATTCAACTGAAGACTCTGTTTGTGGGAATAAAGGCTTTGCTGATTCGAACATAGGTTTTTTTCATCACAGTATTTTCCTTGGAGATGCCTCACGGCTGGAGAAGGAAGCAGTAACAGCAGTCAAGTTGACTGTCACAACTTCATGGATCAACGTGTGACCCAGTTTGCTTGGCTCCACAAAGCCCAGTATAGTCTGCACTTTGCTGCGTAAGGAGGACCCTTCTGAGTGCCAGGAAGAGGTGCTTAAAATGAGTGCTTTCTCGAAAGAAAGTATAATCAGAAAACTGGGCATATGCATAAATCCTATCTGTGATGAGCTGAGGCTGTCAATATATACGTTGTGCAAGAAAGAGAATCAGTGGCATTGGAAATATGATCTCACTTATCATCCTGACAAAGTCAAAATCTGTCCCTTGCAAATTGTTGAAGTTCTCTGCCGCTCTAAGTGACTAATGAGCTGTAAGCATCTCTCTCCATCCCACTTCCACTGGGACTCCCCAGCTGGATACGACCCCGATCTCATCAACTGTATAGATGGTTTGATATTCAGTTCACATTTTTCTTTCACTTACTTTAGCTTCATTAGTCATAGCTCTGCTTTCTGGGATAATACAACAATAATTTTCACTTATAAGAAACTATAACCAATAATTTATATAAAAACTAGCCCGATACCAGGCTATTTTGTTTGTTATTTACTCAGCTAAATTAAATATACTTAGGCAGCTAGCAATTCCAATATTCATTCACTATCAACGTGAACAAAATTTTGCTGAAGCCCTAATATGTGCTAGAGATATGAAATATAAAGGAGCATAGGAAAGATCCTTGACTTTGATGATTTTATAGATTTTACCCTCCCCAAGCACCAGAAAACTCACTATCATCTGGTGGATGACAACTGATAGCAACCACAGATAGAGTTTTCAAGGCTGTCAATTTTATGAAAGCAGACAATCTCATCTTTTCCCCAGGGAGCGGCTGGTGGGTTTGAACTGCTGACGTTGTGTTTAGCAGTCCAATGATTACCCGAACCAAGGGAGCACACCTAGGCTTAAATAATAGAAAGGTAAAGTAAAACCACCTCTCCACCTTTGTGTAGCGCACAGATTGGTGAAGCATATTGGCTGTTCCATGGAATGAACAAACGGTCTTACAAGAAATACACTCGGAAAGCTCCTTAGAAGGGTGACGAGTCGAACACCTATATGTCAAGAGCAAAAAGTTCTCTGGACACAGTGTTCCACAAAGAGCCCCACCAGACCCTCTCTGAGGACAGAGGCAAGACCACCAGACACTGCGTACAAGAGAGCATCATCAAAGGCTCCATCAGGAGATGCTCTGGCCTTGTGATTTTTTCCTGAAGTCTTTGAAGGCCTCTGACTTTCTGAGCATCAGTTTTCTCATTGACATGACAATCACAATGCACCTTTCATAGGACTATAAATACTAAATTACATCACACAGTTCAGGTAAACATACCTTTAAATGCAGTAGGCACATAGTGCAAGTATAGTATAACAAATAGAGAAAGATGAGGCTTTCTACTTCCATCAACGTTTACAATCTTGGGAGTCCACGAGATCAGTTCTATTCTCTCCTTTAGGGTCAGAATGAACTTGATGGCAGTGATCTTGGAATCTCAGGAGCGATTACATAGCACCTAAGGCCTTTATAAGGGGTTGACTAGATGGAAGAATATTGGAGGGTACGATGGGCAAAGAATATGGCTTTCATAGGTATACTGTACACACAAGGCAAGGCAAAAGTGGAGATCAAAGGGTTTGAGTTATATTGTTCCGCAATGCATAAATCATGACTTTAGACGACAGAGAAACTTTAGGACTTGCTAATTTGATAGTGCTTTTCTGAAAATCAAGGAGCTCTTGTCGTACTATGGTTTAGGCATTGCATTGCAAAGCTCAAGACTGAGAATTCAAACCATAAGCCTCTCTAAGGGAGAAAGATGCAGCTGCCTGCTTCTGTAAAGATTTACAGCCTTTGGAAACCCTATATAGGGTCTCTATGCATCGCAATGGACTCACTGACAACGGGTTATGTCAGTTAAGTCTTCCGCAAGCCAAGTGTCCAACATCTAGTCAATTCACATGTGATATGGTAAAAGCAGATCCCATCTGCTTTTCAGGGGTCACTGCAGCACAGCTTGCTAGTCACACAGCACACTATTTCTCACTGATGATATCCAGGAACTGACAGTTCAATGCTTTATTCCCTTTTATTAAGCTTAAGGGATAGGGAGTTAGTTCCTTCAGTTGAGGAAATCAGAGTACCGGTCAGAATAGGTTCAATCTTCCATTTGGGTGATTTTGCTGCTTCCTTCATTCTGGCTGATGGCCTTACAGATGTGTTCCAGAGACTCACAGGGGGACAGAAGCTTGGGTAAATTATTAAAACACCATCATTTTACAAGGAAAAAAACCCCAAACTGCAGATTTAATTAATGTCTAATTGAAAGAACAGGGCTGGTAGGTTGCCAGCTTATAAGCTGCATTTTTGTGAAAACAGATAACACTTATAAAATGTCGCCTCTTCTGAGCAATTTCGCTAATGATTTCTGGCTGAGCTAGTTGGTGCTTCCTATGATGACACAACATGTAACCTACACTTGAAGAATAAGAAAAGATGAAAGAAGAAACTATAGTCAAACAGTACCATCAGCTGGACCCTGTGTGTATGCATTTATGTATGTATGAAGACAGTATATGTATCAGGAAGGCCATCTCAGAACTCACAGGGGCGGTCCTACCCAGCCCTATAGGGTTGATATGAGTCAACGTCGACTTATTGGCAGTGAGATGAATTTAGAGAAGCCCTAGTGGCTCTGTGAGATAAATTTTGGATGGATAAACACACGGTCAGTGGTTAAAACCTATCAGCCTCTCTGTGGGAGACAGGAGTCTGTTTGCTGCCTTAAAGATTTACAGTTTCAGAAACCCTAAGGAGCAGTTCTACTTTTTCCTTTAAGCTCACTATGAGTAGGAATCAGCTCGAAGGTAGGGAGTTTGGTGTATGCAGTTAGGACAGGTGCTGGTAGCACAGTCAAAAACCTGAGAAGTTGGCAGTTCAAACACACCAATAGTCCCATGGGAGAAAATATATAGCAGTAGCCTTCCATTAAGATGATAGCCTTGTAAGTCTTTTAAGGGCATATCTAATCTGTCTTACAGGGGCTTCATGAGTCAGAATTGACTCGATGATAGTGGTGTTTTTTTGAGGGAGTTATGCAGTGGGGTAGCCTTTCTTAGCCCATTCTCAGTATATAGGGAGTCCTAGTCGCCCTGTCATGAAAACATTGGACTGATAACCACAAAGTCAGTGGTTCAAACCAACAAATCACCCTGCAGGAGAAAGACTGAACTGTCTGATCCCACAAAATTTTTCTGTCTGCCTCAAAAACTCTAGAGAGGGTCACCGTAGATGGGAATCAACTCAATGGCAGTGGGTTTAGTTTGGGAGTTGTCTTAGCTTTTATTTAGCTTGGAAGCAACTCTTTTCACTTCAAACCTTTAAGACCCCAGACACTATATCTTTTGATAGGCGGTCACCATCAACTTTCTTCACCACATTTGCTTATGCCCCCATTTGTCTTCAGCGATTGTGCCAAGAAGGTGAGCATCTCAGAGTGCCGGATTATTAGAACAAAATGTTCTTGTGTTGAGGGAGTACTTGAGTAGAGGCTCAATGTCCATCTGCTTCCTTAATACTAAACCTATAAGTATATGTACATAGATCTATTTCCTCATTGTCATATATATTTACATATGTACATGCCTGTATTTAGATCTCTATAAATGCCCTTTGCCTCATAGTTCTTTCCTCTATTTCCTTTAACTTTCCTTTTGACCCACTATCATGTTCAGCCTTCATTTGGGTTTCAGTAATTCCTCTCAGCTACATTGCCCTTGATCAAACCCTACTAGACCTCCTACATCCTCCTCACCATCAATTTTTGGTCACTTGCTGTTCCCTTGTCTCTGGGTTTCAATAAACAAGCAAGTTGCTATTAATGACCCTCTATTATAGAACTAATTGTTTACATACAAGTTCAGGTTGAAGCTATAGAAAATTAAAGCAAGCTCATAGAAGCCAAAATAGACCTTGAGTATTTATCAGCCTCTCAAGGACACATTTGATGTATTCTACACTAATGACAGAATATTAGATGAGTCCTAGGATGACAATAAAAACATCGTACATAAGGAAAGCAAACGGTTATTAAAAAGACAGGAAGGAAAGAAAAGACCCAGAGAATTTCAAAAGAGACTCTGAGACTTGTTCTTGAATATAGAATAGCTCAAGCAAATGATGGAAGAAATGATAAAGTAAAAGGCTGAGAAGGAAATTTCAAAGGGTATCTCAAGGAGTTAAAGTGTTATAATGAATTCCTGGAGTTAGAAAGTAAAACAGAACCAACCCACTCAGCATCTCAAGCTGAGACAACTAAAGAAAAAAAATTCAAGACTTGAGTTGTAATGTTGAAGGATTCTATGGACAAAATATTGAATGATGCAGGAAGCACCAAAAAAAGACAGAATGAATACAGAGAATCACTCTGTATTCCAAAAAGAACTGGTTGAAATTACGACATTTCAAGATGTAGTATATGATCAAGGCCTGATAGTATTGATGGAAGAAGTTCAAGCTGCACTGAAGGAATTGGTGAAAAAAAAAATTTTTTTTTCATGGAACGTGCTTTTATTTAGACTCTGTGGTAAGGGGTAGAGGCAGGGGGCAGCCCCAATACCATTTGGAGGAGGTCTCTGGGGTTCACAGCCAGGGTTCACCACACTCTGGGTAGGGTTTCAGAGTCGGCTTTAGTTTTGGAGGAAGAAAGAGAGAGAGAGAGAAAGAGAGAGAGAAAGGCATCAAAGTGGCCGAAATGGGACTTGGCTCCTTCACAGGGGAGGCGCGGGAGGAGGTAGGCCCGGTCACCTGGGAGGTTCACAGGGTGGCGGGGTGGCGCTGCGAAGCTCCCCCTGTCTGTCCAGACCCAGCTGTTGTCTTCTTTCTCACTCATTCTAAGGGCTAAGTCCCGAGCAAACTTCCACTGAGACTGAAACACGCGTAGGAAGCTGCCTGCCTTTGCTGGCTGACCGGCGCCGACCCACTGGCTGCAGAATGCACACAGATGGTGAGGCTTCAGGCGCTGCATGAGCTGTGATGTCATTTCATTCATTCTGAGTGGCACCTGGACCAGTGCTACCTGTAGTCCTGCCAGGCAGGGCTCCTGCCTTGTGCTATTTCCTAAGCCCTGCAGAGGAGGCCTGGCAC